GAGCAATTATGGAATATTTAAACACTCCATAAAGTATACTAAAAAGACTTATTTTTATTTTGGTGCTGGAATCCCATATTAGCCAGTTAGGACTGAGCTCTGATAGATCAATAGACATTTCAGTGTATCTTAGGTAGATAAATAAGGAGACTCATCCTGATTTCTTATTAGTGGTAACAAAAGGGCACCTAAATTTCAACAGTGATTTACATTAATTACTGTACCTCTGAAATATAGTACATAGCCCAAATGCCAAGAGCCTTTCAGAAGAAGAGTGGCACATGTTAAAAATCAATGAAGAACCCTATAGGATACACTGTGAAAATGTTATTTCTCTTAGAGTTAATTTAGACTACAGTTCACGTTTTATTTGGAAACACGAGCAGCAGAATAACTACAAAGTAACAGAACGCTATGAATATTCAGTTAATTTTACTTCTATAATATACAATTTTACATATAGCACTGAGAATAGGCTTTTTTAATGAGGCCAGAGTCCAACCAGTTATAGTCCAAATTTCTGCAAATTATCCTGCAAACTATGACAAACCATGGGCATAGTCACAGATGGTTGAAAATGGGGTTGAAGCTCTCAGCACTACAATCCCAACACACACAAAAACCAAAACCCTAGCTATATAAATACAAGTCTCTGTAGCTTTTATTCATGCAAACTTGTATTTTCCGAAAGCAAGCCAAGAACTAGGATACTGCAATACAGCTAAGATTCCTTTCATTACCAGTAAAATGTTTAAAAATTAAAAATAATATTACTTGCAAATTTTACTTCTCAGAAGTTAGATTGATGTTTAAACGCAGAGAGCATTGTACCAAGAACAACAGCAGGGGATCTCTTCTGCAAATTAATTACTTAAGACAAAGTGTTCCACTTGAACACTCCTGCACTGCAGATCTTTTGTCCAGAGTGTCACTACTGCATATTTCGTATTCATTCCAGGCTTGGAGCTCCCGTCAACATTAGAGGATTTTATATGCAAATTGATTACTTTTAAAAGCTCTAGAGCATTCCTGAAGTAATATTACATTTTAAAAAAATTAACTCAATTCTCATGAGCTGCATATTGTTTCTCCTCCTCCCCATATGAAAGTTAGAAATGGAAGCTCAGGTGTTCACCTCGGGTTCACCTTCCTCAGAAGTCATCGTCAGTGTGAAGAGATGCACCTCAACAAGTTATTTCTCTGATCCAGCACTGCTGCTGATTTGAGCATAAAACCAGGTGCAGTAAGACCAAATGAAACCTGACACACCTTTGCATGTATTTTATATACATTGAGCGATGCTAATGTTTGCCAGTGGCTACCTAGAGGTAAAACTGGCTTAAAAATCCCAGACCTTACAATAAGGTTCTGGAATAAAGTTTTATACAAAGGCTTCCACTTTTTGTCAGAGGATAAAAATCTAAATACTCTTACCCAATTCAGGCTTTCTGAGTAAGCTGAATGTGTAAGAGCTAATTAAACTTCTAAAAAGTCTCATTCTAACTCTCCTTAGTCCCACAGAATGGTTCTACATGAGAATAGATATATATTTGAAATTCTGAAGCACTGAGGCACAATGCGAACCTGCCAAAGATGGGCACAGAACCAAGGCGTATTCTCACACTCGTATGGATTCATTTTAGGCAGATATCACTGAGCTCTCCCACTGAGAAATTCGCATACCAAAACACCCATCAGTTTTCTTATTGCTAGGCAAGCACTTGACCAAACAGTATTCCTGCAAAGGATTCATCCTCTCATGCAGCTATTGATAGTGTAAATATTTAACCAAGACACTATCATTTTCCATGGTGCCTGTTTATTAGTTGCAACGTCTACTGTGGTGTGGTTTTTTCTTACTAAAGATGGTTCATCTGAAGTTGCTTGTCCCTGTAAATTGAAAACATTCAGGTTCAAAAGAACTAAGTTTCCTCATGGGCAAATTTCAATGCAAAACCACAGATGATCTTTGGCACGAATGGGTTTGTGGACATTCCTGTGGGTTTGCAATATGTTTGCAACAGTAACCCTAAAGGAAAATACTGTTTGACTTATCCTTTGTGAGCTTTCCCTAACTTTGAAAGAAAATATCAGACTCTGATAATTTTTTAAAACAGAAGGAGCCAATTTCCTTGTACTTTTGATTAAATGTATGAACAAATGACTGCAGGTCTGCAAATATCAGTTAAATTTGCACGGTTGATTCTGCATGTATTGACTGTCCAAGCTGAAAGCATTATATTCTTGTATTTGTATTACATGCAAATCCATTGATACTGAAGTCATATATTGGTATATGAGGCAAATTTTATGAAAAAACATTTCAGAAGCTTGTAAATTAAACTGCAGGAATTAAAGAAGAAAGTAATTTCTCTCTGCCTGCATTTTCACCTTCAATACCACCAAAGTCACAGTCATCTGCTAAACACTGTAAGCTAGCTGTATGTCCCTTTGGACTTTCCTAACCTCTCCTTCCAGGCTGTTTCCACAATCCAATGTGCCCCGCTTCTTTGGGGAAAAAGTGCAGCTCTGATATGAATAGGAAGATTTTAGAATCCATATCTGTGTGTGTGTGTGCACACGCATCTTCATATGTGCCTAACCTATATGTGCATATAGCATGTTATAATGATGATATACCTTATCACATATCACCTTAGCACCCAATGGCATTAAAAAAGACTCTAACTTCTGGCAGGTCTATGTTTCAGTACCACTGCAGTGAGAGACCCAGGTTTTACATACACAGTTCAGTCTGGATTTTGCTGTGAAGCAGACTGCTTGGCAGTTGGCATCCCAGAAGCTCTAGGGGCAGTTGGATTTCTTTCTTACAAGAAACATTGTTCAGAGAATTTGAGACCATAATGGGGAAAACTATACTCAGGATGTCAGAATGTACAGCTGTGAGAAGGATATTTAGTGGGATAGGGGAGATTATTTTTATTAAGTTTGCTTATGCTTTTCTAGTGAAGAATGAAAAATTAGATTTGACGGTGGCAGAAAAAGCAAGGGGGAGGGAAAGA